CCAGTTGGACGCGAATGGTTCAATCAAACATTATGCCTAGTGATGTAACACAGGTCACGATGGACATAATCACAAATAAATAAAGATTATGCACAATAGTTGTCTAGTCTAATCAGAATAATAAAACGGAAAGCGAATCCTCCGGAAGAGGCAGATGGAAAGATCCCGGGCAGGATATAAGGGAAATGCTTTAAAAGAACAGAAAGACCCCGATCTCTCCACGGTAGAAAGATAGCATTTGGGTATAGTCATTGTCTAATAAGGTTAGCAAACAAAAATTATGAATTGGAAAAAAATATGCAAGGCCTCTGAGAAATTAATAAGACTAGGATTGTCTGGTTGTAGAATGCGTTGTGAGGATAAGTCAAGATTTGACGATAAAGAAATGAGTTTCCGCACATACGCGAGCAAATGGAGGATCGGATAGAGAATATTTTACGAAGATCAAAATAAATGAAATTAACGCTTAACTGTATGATAATAATCTTAAGAACTGTTTCGAAAGGAATTTACTCAGATGGCGAGTTTAGTTAAAGCACTTCATACAGTAGTCTTAAAGGAAGGTACTTTTCATTTGTGTAATAGCCGAGATAAGCATAGTGTTGTGGTGGATAGCAGAAGGCTAAGAAAAATCCAGAGCCTAATCCTACAGAGTTGTTCTTCATTGATGTTGAGGAAAGGCTTTAAGCATGGTGAACTGGAATAATTAATACAAATTCGCAAAAAAGTGCTGAGTAGGTAGGATTATATGAGTATGGATAGTTATACATATAGAAAAGCCGAAAAGGCAGCATAGACACATGGATAGAAGACCCAAGGGGATAAGTGAATAAGTTGGAATCAAGTATTGGTATGATACATGAAGAACTAAGGCTCAAGCAAGCCTATCAACAAAGGATAAGCTGTGATTTTGGAGTTAAATGCAAGAACTCGATGTCAATAAGAACCCGCTTCTGCAAATTTCTTTTCCTCATCATCATCACAAAACAAGCCATCCCATTCCGTTTTTGGTAACAAGCACCAGTTAGGCGACCCTGTTGACGTGTTGAGACGCCGAGTGGGGCAACTAAAGTCCTCGATCTCCTTCCATAAATTGAGAGGCATCGGTTCGCACGCCGCAGTTTTTGAGGCTAAATCAGCCTCGTCTGCGGCAAAACCGTCGCCTTCATCATCAGACCTAATAAGCTGCTGTTGCTGCAGAGATTCTGAATAGTAAGGAGCAATCTGAAGGCCACTGCAGTCCTCTATAATGGGATGACTGGTAGTGGAAATTGCTAAACGAGAAGAATGCACTCGATGTAGCCGCATCTGGCGTCCGGCTAAAAGGAGGTCACAGTTGTGACACTCGTCCAACCAGATGGGACCAAGGATACCTCTGGTGGTGCCAAGCTTGACTACGATGCGAGAGTTACGTAGGCCTCGAGCAGTGAGACTACCAAAGCAATATTTGTCTGTCTCAATGATTACTCGGCAGTCGATAAGGTCAGCCAAAAATATGGCTGCAGGCTTGGAATCATCAAGATTAGTGCTGACTGGACAAAGGGCCGTTTCAGTGGGCCGGACAGGGATTCGAAGGTCACGCCGATCTTTTATGTCGACCAATGCGAACCGAGAATCTAGTTCTTGGGCCTCAGCAATGGAGGATGCAAGTTGGTCGGTAACATTAGAGGAAGTTGGCTCAATAAGTAGCTGCAGGTGTTGAGAATGTGCTCCACTGGAAGATGGATTAGTACAGGGAATATCTGGTTTAGCACGGCTAGAGAAAGCAAATCGCTTCTTCGGCAAAAGAATTTCGCGCTTTGCTTGGAAGTAGCGATTCAAGTCCTGTGTTGGATTTATATGATTGTTCATAAGGTAGAATAGGAAAGTATGCGGATAAAAAGATGGATTACAGTAAAGTATTGTGACAAAAGTTGAGTGCCAATAAAAAAGGAAGATATATAAAAATAATAATGTTGAAAATACCCACAATCATCTCAAGCCTGGCCTGCTCGACGTCGAAGTTGGTTAAAAGGATAGATGATTCGTTAAAATGCTTCTGCAGATTTTGAATTCGATCGAAGATGGCATCGAGAACCTGAGTATCATGAGGAGTGGAGGAAAGAATAAAAATAGTTAGAAATACAATCGTGTTTTGATAGCTTTTGATTTCATTTGGAAAGACAAGCGGAAGAGTTCCTTAAACTGGCCTTACCTAAAACTGAGAGGAGAAACACAACGGTCCGATGTTGAAGTCATCATGACCATATTCATAGGAACTGGATTTCGAAACGAGTAAAGCTCGAATAAGTTACATTAAACCAAAATATAAAACGCTTGTGCCCGGCTAATATAGCATTGGATTCCTCATGGTGAATAGAGGGAAAAGTAGTGCCTCAAAGTCCCCCATTTAGAAACATTTGGATTACGGTATAGGGCTGAGAATAGAAAACAAATTATCGAAGGTGACACGTAATAGCAGAGTCCAAAACACAGCTATTCACAAAAAAGTAAGATAAAATTGAAGTAAATAATGTTGCATGGCTAGTACTATTGCTACTTGAAATACCCTTGAGTAGTTTTGCATGCCCATTTCTGGTTGGTTCAATAGATACGGTGCAGGACCAAGCTTTCAATGGCCGACATAAAATAGTAAGGAATAGTCATACTCTCACGTGGTCTTTGTGTTAAAAGGTGGAGCCATGGATACGTATGTAATGTAAAAGAACTAAACATTGTAGTGGAAAAGTGAAGGGATAGTTTCAGAGAACGTTGAGATATGATTAGGAACGAAACGCATTCTACTTCTTAGTCCAGAAGAATGACAGGATGTTTCTGATTTCATCCTTAATATGAGTTTTGGTGGTTATCTGATATCCGTGATGGATTCCGAATGATCAACGTTTGCATGCTTGAGTCCTGTTGTCCTTTTATTTCCAATGTGAATTGCTTATCACATTTTGGCATGACTCGGTGGTGATAATATTCGGTAGCCTTGGACGCGTACATATTAAGATGTGGAAAGGCCTTATGCACTGCAGTATTAATTGAATTGGGTTTGAAAGGG